TTGAGGGAGTGGGTGTCTCACCAATATTTTGCTTTTAACCTAGTTTAGTGTATAAAATGCAATAATTTGTTAGATTTAGGTATTTATCAGTTTTCAAACAGGAGTACAGAAAAATGATGATCAAAGCCAAGCCTGACATTTTTGATTGTCAAAACGAGTCATGATTGAAATGGTGATGTTCTGGACTTTCTCTATTCAACTTTTCCGTTCGCCCTATCACTAGATATCTTCCTACTTCCGTACATGTTTTTCTTTCTTTCTTTCTTCAGTTTACATGAGTTAGAGAGTTTCTAAATATATATTATTAATTCTTTAGAAACACTTTTTTTTAATTTCCCCTTCAATTCTTCGAATATTCAATATTCCATTTGCATGGATTTCTGCAGATGTAGAACCTATGAAACGCTTATTAATTACATGGATGAATTAATTAACATTAAAAATATATTAAATTTGTAATTATTTTTAATAGTTCGATTAATAAAATAAAGCAAAGTACGTATGTGCAGCTAACAAAGAAAAGAGTTGATTGATAGAGAAAGGAAGGAAGACAGCTAGAAGAGTAATTGATTTGATGTAATTTTATTGGCATTTTGTTATGTTAGGTAACAAAAGAAAGGGAATGATTTTGGTGCTGTTGATCACTGTTTCGTGGTAAAGTGGAAAGTTGTAACTCAAATTTGAAAAATGAAAACTCTAGTTCAAGAAAAGCTAGGGAGGTCTTGCCATGAATAGACATATGCTGCTCGTTGCACGAGAGCTGATGATACGACACAAGTAACAGCAATTGTTACAAGCATATTTGGCTACATTTTTTTTTTTAAATACCCTTTATTTTTAAGAAAAAATCTCTAACATAAAATTATATATAACATACAAATAAACTCTAAACCCTAAATCCTAAACTTATAAAATAAAAATCGATCAATTTATAAATTAATTTGACCAAAATAAATTTTCTTAATATAAGAGTTTGGTTGAGAAACTTGTAACTTATTTTAGAAACTTACAATCGATCAATAGAAATAATTCATAGTTTAAATTTTTTTTATCTCATTAATTTACTTAAAATTAATTATTATTATTTTTAATTTAAAAACCACTTTACACTTATCTTATTCTATCACGCACATTATCAAACAAATAAATATGTCATTTTATATTAATCAATTATCTCTAATAAGGAAATAATGGTAAAATAAGAAGACATTCCTAATGGCATGTTAGGGTCACCCACCCGTTATAGTTACTCAACTAGCCTTTAGGTGTTTGGGAATTTTTTTAAGTAGGGTTGCTCATTAAGCGAGAAAAATGGTACAAGGGAGATTCAAACTTCCATTATAGAAAAGGTGAAAGTTCGGTCTAAGACCTTAATCACTTGTATCAATTCGCATCGGTTATTAATCAGTTAACTTATCAACCAATCTTATCAAACACTTTTAATTTAATTAGTTAACTTATAGGTTTTCAACTTTTCAATTCCTAACTCATGAAATTTTAGCTAGCTTATGAGTCTTTAGTCAACTTAAAAACTAATTTTATGAAACACCCTTAATTAACATGTTTTTAATTTCTATAAATGAGTGAAATTTGTTTTTATCTTTAAAAATATCTTTTTATTTTTTCATCATTCTAAAATTAAAAATTATTATTTTTAGTCACTATTATTATGCAAGACTTGTTTGTTGTTTGTATTAAATAAAAGATCAAATAATCATCTTTGATAACACCTACTTGTGTCTCTAGTTCTATACCAACATATGACACCTCTAAAAAATTCAAAATATATAAAATAAATATTATTTACATATCTTGAAATAAATATTTGGGGACCAAATTAGTGATTTTAATTTTTAAAATATTGAAAATCAAATAATATATTTTTCAAGGAGTAAGATTAAAATTTAATTATTATTTTACGTGAAAAAATAATAATTTTCAAATTTCAATTTTAGATGATAAAAAACAAAACATTTTTACAAGAATTAAATTAAAAATAATTTATTTTACATAAAATAAAAACATATTTAAAACTAAATTCTATTTTAACCATATTGATATGAGATATTCGACAAATATGTTAACAAAAGTGTGATTAATTTTTAGTCATACATATACAAAAATTGTATTTGGAGAGATAAAATTCATCTTAAAAATTTTTATAATTAAAAAAGAAAACTAATCTCCTTGTATCAATTGATAAATATATTGGGTTAAAGCATAAAGTGTTGTTGTAGTTATGATAATGGGAATCTTGGTTTAGAAAAAAGTGGTGGTGTGTGGAGTTGTAGTTATGATTAGCAAACATTTGAGGGAGAGAGAGAAAAGGTGTGTAGCAACTAGCAATATAGCAACTACTTTGGGGGGTGAGTCGGTAAGTGGCTGGTTCCCTGGGGTAAGACAAGTGACCCCATTGCTAGTTGCTAGTTGCTAGTTGCTAGTTGCTAGATGGTACTACTCACTCAACAACAATAAATATACTACGGATCCAATTTTTTTTTTTTAATTTTTCTTACCCTCAATTTTGACCAGATTCTGTGTACATAAATGCATAGATGTTGCATCACACGCGTGTTGCAACTTGCAATGTTGCAAAATGGGAGTGATTTCTTTTAGTAGCAATGGATTGTCTTCTCTCCTCTTATCTACCTAGCTAGGTCTATTATAGGTGATGGATTGATCACAAAATGGAAATATATAGCTTCTTTTTAAATTATTTCTCAATTATACTTATTTCATTCCTTCATTTCATATAGGAAGAGTATATGATCTTATATCTTTAAGGTGTCTCACCTAATCTATTTAATAAAAAAATTTAAATCAAATCTTGAAAAAAGTGTTAAGTTTAAAATTATAAAAAAGTTTATTAGGTTTTATAAGTCAATCTATTTATTTATATAATATAATAAAAAAATTAATATATATTATTAAAATTAAAAATAAATAAATAAATTTATAAAATAAAAATAAATTATTAATATTTAAAATATTTTTTTAAACAATTATTTTTTATTATAGGATTTATAAGTTTACGACAATATACATAATTACTTATTAATTATCTCTTCAACAAAAAATAAATTAATTTTCTCTTATATAAAATTTAAATTTTAATAATATTAAGTAAATTATATTTTAAAAATAATTTTTTGATTTTTAAAAATTAAATTTATTGACTTGATTAACATTAATAATTTAAATAAATTTTTAAATAAACTAATAGGATAGGTCAGAATTTATAAAAGTCAGACTAAACTTATAAAAAAAATTATAATAAATAATAAAACAGGTTTAAACTTTAAACTTTAATTTCACAACACATATTAATTTATATATTCAAAGTTTGACTTAACTTATTATCATCCTAGTCATCGTTGTCAAGTTTTAAGATTACATATAAATTATCTATACTCTCCCTGTTAAGCTTATTTTAATGGGTTTATAATTGTTTTTTAATAAAAAATGAAAAGAAAAATAGATAAACACATAGTTTCATATGTGTATATATGCAATATCTGCATAGATGAAATGCTAATTAAGGACATTAGGAAATGGTGAGTTATTGTAGGAGATTAATTACCAGAACTATTAAAAAAATCTCAAGATCAGTATGATGGGTAATATTTAAATTTTTTTTAAAGAAAGTGTTTTTTTACAATACTTTTTAATTTTTATATTCATTTTATTAATTTATAACATTTTTAGTTTATATAACTATCATTATTATTATTTTTGAATATTTGTTAATTAAAAAAGTGATTTTTTGAAGGATTGCTCATATACGTGGCTTTATGGAAGCATATACACATATATCTGGGTTGGTCATGTATGCTGACAACCAGAGTGTTCAGCTCAGCTAAAGGCTCAACTTAATTAATTGCCTAGCTTATGAAAAATTCAGTGGTAAAAACAGAATATTCATTGCTTGAAATCATTTTGATTTTTTTATTTATTTTATTTTGCCCCTTCTAATGGTATATGGATTTGGAGGGGAAATCCTAATGAAATAGGAAGATATGAACACTCTAACAATATTCATTTTTATTGTTGAGTAAATTTTCCCTGTGATTCACTTAATAACATGAGTCTATTTTTTATTTATCGAGATTTATATAATTTTTTACCTAATAACAATAAATAATTTCTACAAAAATCTTACTAAGTACTGACATTTTTCAATCAACAATTTGGAGAATAAATAAAAGATTAATGATGTTTGTTAATAAATTAAACTTATTTTACATATACAAATTCTTACAAATGTTTATAATTTATAAGTGATTTGTAAAAGTTTGCCTTAATATTTTTAAGGGTTCAATGTTTATACATGGTGTATAAAATTTTGTCAGTGTGAATATGGTATAAAAACTTATTATATATGACCGTTTTTATTGGATGACTATATAATTTTTCACATGATTATTAAATATATTTACTTTTTCTTTATTGAGATGATATAATTTTACACAGTTAATTAATGAAATATATATATATATATATATATATTTGTTTTGATAAAAATTAATAAATTATAATTTATTATTAAATTGTAATATTAACAATCACTGTTACTCATAGTCATAGAAAAATAATCCAGAATCCAGCAATAAATTGGCATGGATATGATACTTTTATTATTGTGTGTATATATGTGGAATGCAATGCAATGCATATATGTAGCCTTGTGGTTAGTTTAGCAGCTTTAGCTTAGTGCTGCCAAAAGTTGGTATCACCCCCTCCGCAAATTGTGGCCACCGCCGCTCATCTTAGCTACTTTAATTCGGATTACTTAAATTAATTAATTACCTTCAAACATTGGTTACATTTCTTAACAAAAAAAAAAAGAAAAATTAATCCAATCTAACTACTGCCTTAATTATAGTTTATTAACTAATAGCATCATTTCCACCCAAATTCAACCGTTTACTTTTGCTTGACTTTTCAAATCCCAAAATTTATCCAAAACTTAAGATTAAAATCAAAATCTCGGTGGCTCTATCTCTATCACCTTCTATATAGTGATGGAATGAAGATGAGTGTGCAAAATTCATCATCTCCTCACAACCCTTTTAACTATTCCTGATTTCTGAAGCATCTGACGGTGGAGGATTCATCACAGAGTGTCTTTTATTAGAACAATATACGAGTAAGAGAGGTTCATAGATCTTCAGCATTTAAGACTCATGTGGTCCTCTACTTTATAACCAGCTCAGTAGTAATGGAATTTTTGTTGGCTCTGCTGCTAACTACAGCACCTGAAACAGTGAAATTTGAAAGCTCTCTTTCTTTAAAAGCCTTCTTTCTTTCTTTCTACTCTAGAGACTAGAGAGGACTCAAGTTCTACCCAGGCCTCGATACATTGTATTCACTTCCTTCGTTTCTGTTCTTTTTTCTTCAAGGATCCACAGTAATTCATCACAAATCTTGCTTCTTCTTCATCTCCTACTTAACAACCTGATGAAACTTTCAGAATTTGATTTGCAGACTCAAACCTCAGTTTCTGAAAAGCTCCTTTCTCTTCTTATTCTTGTGAAGAACTGGTGCTTGTTCATGTTCATGTTCATGTCCTAGTTGATAAAATTCCTCCCTCCCCTAGAAGTTTTTAGTTTCTGGGTCTTATTCTTCTCATTTTTCCAAGCAGAAAAGTCCTTTCTTTTTTTTCAAATCTGGGTGTTGTGAAGAGTTATTATTAGTCTGCAACATGCCAGTGATGGATATTTTTCAAAACCCATCGTCTCTCAAATCGAACAGATTTGAAACAGCCATGTGGGCTGCAAAGTTTGTGCTCATGTCCATGGGGGTTATCTCCACTCTTGTTTTGTTGAAAGTGGCCATAGTCCCATACACATTCCACCTTATTCTCTCAACCCTTCCTCAATTCTGGGTCTCACTTAGAAGCTGGCTAACTCTCCCATTCCTTTACATAATTGTCAACTTCATCATCATCACCATTGCAGCTTCCTCCAAAATCAATAACCCCAAACCCTTTTCTGAGTCTGATCCTAAGCACACATCTGCCAAAGAAGAAGAAAAGGAGGTTGAAGAAGAAGAGCAAGGACAACACCAACACCAACAAGAAGAAGAAGAAGAAGAAGAGGAAGTTGAAGAACAACACCACCAACAAGAACAACAACAAGAAGAACAAGATGAGGAAAAGGAGTTTGAAGAGCTTGGTTTGTCTTGTGACAAATTCATCATCCACCACCCTTTGCTTGAAAATTGCACCAACGATTATTTCTTGCCGGATTCAGATGGTGGTGATGACACACTGGAAGCCACATGGAGGGCTATAATGGAGGGACAGGGGAAAACTATGAGGCCACAGCTGAAGAAGAGTGACACATGGGGTGCTAGAATTGCAAAGGCAGAGCCATTCAAGCGCAATGGGGAGGGTGGTGGTGATGATGACCCTGTGGCTTGGGCTCAGAAGGAGCTTAAAAAGTCTGATACTTTCAATGATAGAGCCTCTCTGAGGAGGGAAAAATCCATGAGTCCCGAGGAACTGAATCGCAGGGCAGAAGCCTTCATTAAGCAGTTCAACAATCAGATGAAGTTGCAGAGGCTCGAATCTTACCAGCGGGTCAGGGAAAAGGTAAATCGAGGTGTTTGATCATGTGGCCTATCTTTCTGCTTTTTCACCACTCACAGTGAAAATTTAGCTAAATGAGAATCTCTGGAAGTATATTAACCATTTTGGAGGTACTTAAGTATTCTTCTTAATTTAGTTCTCATTGGATTCAGCACATTACTAAATCCTTGTGTATGTTATGCAGAATTTCACTGTCGGCTATGTGTGTTATCATATATATGTAACATATTTTTTGTTGAAAAACATTTCATGAACACTTTGGGCTAATATACACTTAGAGAGAGAAAAATGTATATGTGATATATGATATGAGAAAAAGAAAGAGATAAAAATAAATAAATATGATGTAGGTGTTCATATATGTTGTTGTTATTAAACCATAATTCAGTAGCATTTACCTAACAACTTGTGCTTTTAGAATGGTCAGTCTTGTCATGGGGCTAGAATACAACTGTTCTCATATTAATATTTGGATTAGTAATAGTAGTTAAGTACAGCACTTACGGAATCTTTTTATGTCTAAATTAAACATAATCAAATGATTGTTGAGTTTTTCCTTTTTTTTCTCTGAGGTATGACCTCAGAAAGGAATCTGTAGGGAGCTTCTTGTATGCACAAGTATGAATTTTTATGACTCCAAAAGTAAATGTGTTATTCGATGGCGCATATCTATGGCATCTAATTATATTCTTGACGCATTGGGCATTCAACACCTGGCGAAACATAAATAGTAGTTAGCACAATTAAATGAATCTAGCATTGGTTAGACTGTTCCACCTACCAAACACTTGATTGAAGTGTAGAAAAACTATAATCTACTACATCATTAGTACGTAATATATCTAATCTCACATATAAGTTCGATTTGTCGGTTTCCATGTGTTGACTCTTTCTTCTCCCTTGGCAGGACTTGCTGTGTACATATTTTTGCTGCTGAGACCGTGTGAAGAAGCCAAGACAAGTATAAGACATGGTGTACTTTTTTCCCTTGTCAAGTTTCTTGTGACATAGTGGGCATAAGTTAGTTTCTCCCTAATCTGTTGTGCTCTTTCTTTGGTCTAGATCTTTTCTCTACATGTTCAACCTAAACTATTCATAAGTGTAGTGCTTCTTATGTTACATAATGTTTGTAATATGTAGTTTGAACCCTAGGTAGCATTATGAGGGTATTTTTAAAATCGAATTAATGTACAATTTATGCAGACCTAATAATTTACCAGTTAATTCAGCTTTAAAATGCTTCTTGAATGGTTGCTTTTTTTCCTTTATGTATCGGTATGCCCAAATGTCTTAAGAGTGGAGGTTAATGACAAGTTATAAACATTTTTTTTATCTAACAAAAATATATTTTTAAAGACAAAATTGCGATACCTTAATTAAAGTACACAATATTTTTAATGTGGTAATTTTAATGGTGTAAAAGACGTCGGGACACTTTGCCTACATGAAAGGAAGGGGGAACATACATGGACACATACCTATTGAACAAAATCACATACGCCTACCAATAACAAGTAACAACCGTACTCGTGCGAGGAGGTGATAGATGGTCGTGTTTAAAGATAGACCAAACTCGGCGAGTTGGACTGGAGACTTGGACCCCTTTTGCTTTGCCCTTTGGCGTATTATGGGGCTAGAAAAGAACTAAGCCTTTTTATCTATTAGGAAAATGGATTGAAGTGAATGAACGAAGATAAATTGAACGTAATGTTGAGAGTGAGTTGTCCTTTCAACTGTGCATGGTTGCATGTGACCATCAAGTAAGATATCTTAGCTTAAGTAGATTGGTTATGTTGTCCATATCTCCAAAGTCACGATTAGTTTTGGGATCAAATTAAGAGATTAGGGCAATAAACATGGTGAACACACCGCGCACATGGTTATTATCTGTCAGAATGGTATGGATCATTATACATCTAGTGGGACTTGCTGTTTCTTTAAGCCTTCATTTTAATTATAACCCCCTTAGGTCGGAAAGCACGTTGCCCCCTTTCATGCCAGTGAAAATTGAAACAGAAGAGTCCCATGACCCTTGTTGTGTCACGAACTTTGAGTGGTTTGTGAGTACAGAACTTCATAAAGAAGTAGGACCTGTGTACAACTGAAAATATAAGTGGATCCAAGTTGTGAAAGTCTTTTATTTGTGAGAAATCACAGACAGGGACCCCGCATCTCCTGCCTGCAAAATGCCTTTAACTTCATTTAGAAAAGGTCAGTTTTATTATAATATTTGCCTTCTCTTTCTATTTTAAACCTTTATACCTTTGTCTCTGTTGCAACCTTTGAAAATAGTCACGTATAATTTAATAACTAGATTTATGTTAATCAAATAGAAATTTAAAAAAAATGATTTTTATTACACACCCAAAACACTATTCAACAGTTCATATGATATGATAAAACGAGAAATTAAAAAAAAATGAAAACTGTTGACGAGGTGGTTAAAAATGAGATGTACATCTAAAGTTCATTATTCAATTTTTAATTATCAATATATTATTAAGATTGCCTAATAATATAGAGATTTGGGTAATATACATAAAAATTTTAGTTTCTAATCTCATTGCCCCATTAATTGTAGACCAACAAAAATTATAATCATTATAACAAGCTAGTTGGGACAGGCACTAACGCGTGTGACACTGCATAATCGTTTATGCTATGGTAATAATCACGTGTAAATATTGATTACGAAAAATGTACAAGCTAGAGGACCTAAGAATAAGACCCAATGTTTGCCATTATCAAAGACTAGTCCTTTTCTAATTAACCTCTAATGGAAACAACCACGAAAATCCTTGTACACGTTGTTATGGCACGAGTAAGCTGTGGACCAGAGGCATATGAATAGGGACCCAGAAAGTATGGGGCAGATATCAGTAAGTGACTCGGACACAAGAAGCTATTCAAACGCGGCTAATTAGGATTTAAGTTGGCTTCAAGACGCTGCATTCAAAATTGCCCATGATATAGACTTGTAAACTTCTAGCGGCCGCTAATGCTATTATTCCTTTTGTAGGTGCATGGGACATTATCTATGCATACAAATTATAGTCTAAATATTAGTATCGATGACAAATTAATAAAGAATTACCAGCAGTATCTTTCTCAATTATTTAAACTTAAACTTGACTTCTTTTTTCTTTTTTTTTTAACTGGTAATGGATTTGATGATAATATTCTAACGGGCTAAGCAATGTGGTAGCTGTATCTTAGTTTTCACAAACATGCAAATTTTGAGAGATTAGAGAGAGAACTCTTGTGCAAGCATTTTTTATAATCACAGATCACTCAAAGATTCCTTTTTTTTTTTGAAATTTCAATCAATTATAAAGAGATATTCATTAAATGAGATGGATAAGTTACAAAATTTGTAATTTTTAATAAAATAAATATTATTAGGTTAAACGATTGAACATTAATACCCAATTTATGAGGGTATCTCCATCAAGTAAAAATTCATTTCACATAAGAAGTCTCGACCTGAAGATGACTTTGTCACAATAACAAATAAATAATGGAGTCACACACAAATTAACAGTAAGAATTAAAAATCTTTAATTTAAATTACAGAAACTAAATAAAATGAAATTATAAAACAAAAATATATTTTAACCATATTAGAAAAGTATTAGTACTATTCATATATCTAACCATTAATTCAACTTTTTTTTTCTCGTGGTATTCGAGGTTAATTAGGGAATTTTTTTCAAATAATTTTTGAGGGTTTTGGACAATACCTACCGCTGAAGACGTAATCAATGATACCAAGTCCGCACCAGCACAAAAAGCTCTTCCATTACCCTATTTAACACCGAAAAACAGATGATAGATTACTACTTACTACTTCAAAGATAATAAAAATAATGCAGTTACTAATCATACATAAATAATTAAAGTTGAATTTCATATGGCATTTTCCCTTAAATATCAATCTAATTAACAAAATTATTTGCAGTCTTCCCCTTCTGCTTTACCTTCAATATCACAAGTTGGACTGAAGGGTCATTCTCATACAACTCCAAATTCTTTTTTATTTGACAATTCTGCAAAACAGTGAAAGAAGCCACGTTGTTAGGTTTTGGTGGCTCCATGTCATAATTGTGGGTTTTCCTTTAATTTAATTTTATTTTTTTGACATTATTTTACTGTCAACTGCAAAATATATTTTGGTGGCTCGTCCCTGCAAATATATATAGAATGGGATAGCCTTTATATAAAAACTAAACCACTTGATATCTAAATAACGACACTTCCATTGATCTTCCTACAACCTTGTAAAATTTAAAAACAGTGTTTCACTAAGTAAATTTGTTATTTAAGACGCTTAATAATTTATTTATGAACTTACCATTTCATGGCTAAGGCTGTTTAGCTTCTGAGGTCTGTTTAGTATCACTACCTTCACACATGAATTTCCGATGAAAAGTACCTATAAAGAAAGTCACACAATAAGGAAGCATAGTCATACTTTATTATACTACGTATATAAATTCTTAAGTGTGACGTTTAAGTTAACTTTTTTATTTTTATTTTTTTTCAATTAGAGCATGTTTGGTTTCCCATCAAAACAAGAAAAAATCTTGTACAGTTTTATACCCATATCAAAACTACTCTATATAATTTCAAGTTTTCATGATCATTTGAGCAGTTTGACGTGAATATTATTAGTGAACGTAAATCATCAAATCGTATCTAAACACACACTTAGAATATGATTCAATTCATGGATTTGTGCATTTATTATTGAACTCGTGATCATAGATTTGGAACAAGCATATACTCAGACATTTTGATTATTACATCAAGCACAAAATTCAAATTGTCATTTTCTCTTAATTTACATTTACATCAATATTTTTTGTTCTTTTTGATTTCTGGTATAATTGATGCCAAAACCAAATTCCCACGACCATCTCTATCTCCAATCCATACCTGCCCCCGACAGAAGCAAAACCCACCACCAAGAATTCAAACCCCAAAACATATTAACTAGAAGAAGAAAAAAATATTGAAGAGCAAGAAAAAACAAAATTCAGAAGTAAGAAAAAAAAACAAACCTTCTCTGTTGCTAGTTACCACCACAATGGCAACAACTGATGAATGATGATGGTCAAAAAGGTTTAGCCATAGCTTACAATTAAATTTTTTTTGAAAAAACTATTCAATAACAACTAATAGTTGCTTACAATTAAAAGATATTTTTTTTAAATTATCATTTTGCATCGTTTTTTTTTTTTTTTTTTTTACAACTGCCTGCTGCTATTTTGCCATTTAGTTAGAGTTACTCATAATTATAATTTGCAGATCTAAAATGATTTTGAAAAGGAAGAAAAGATAACCTGGTTTTGTTGCCGGTCAAAATTGAGACTCAGAGCCATCGTCGTGCAATTTAATTCTACAATGAGACGGTTTTGAAAAGGAAACACATATTTGAGCTCAACAAACCGCTCTATTTATAAATTTTACGCTTTAATTCCGTTAAAATTCAACCATAATAATAAAGTAATCAACTTATTTATATTTTAGTATATTTTTAAAAAAATATATATTATATAATTTTAGGTTTAATTGTACTTTCACTACTGGAAAATCAGTATTTTACGTCACCATTTTCTTGTCGGTCATAAAATTACCCAACATAAAAAATATGCGGTGACATTTTTGAAATTAATCTAAATTTTTTTACATCGGACCAAAGGGGGTCCGACGTAAAAATTAAAATCTACGTCGGATATGAAGTACAGTCTGACGTAGATTTCAATTTTTAAGTCAAACCCCTTTTGGTACGACGTAAAAAAATTGTTTTATTCCCTCTGCACCTTCATTTTTTTCGTCCGCGCAAGTGTTTTTACATGTTTTCCTCTAGGGTTTTCCTCTGGCAATTTCTGGTGACGACAATGACAATGGTGACGACAACGATGAGGAGCGATGATGACAACAGCGACGACAACAATGACGGTGAGCAGCGACGACAACGACGTTGAAACCCATTTTTGATTCTGAACCTATCTCTCTGATTGGGTTGAAGCATTTAGGCATTTTTACAGATTGAGGTTAGTACTTTCATGCGTGTGTTGATCTTTTTGTGTAAAAATATTGTTTTACTCCTGCAGGTGAGTGTTTTGACACTATTTTCCTCTCCAACGGTTTTCGGCGACAGCGGTGATAAACCTTTCGAGGTTTTCCGTTCTCGGTGCACGGCGGCAAGACCCATTTTTTATTCTGAACCTATCTCTCCGATTGGATTGAAGCTCTTGAGTATTTTTTGGGACATATTTACGGATTGAGATTATTTTTTTATTTGTCTGTCAACCATTTTACGTCAAACGTGGAAATGTCCGATGTAATTTTACGTCGGCTAAAACACTCGATGTAAATTTACGTCTCCCGCATTGACGATAGACTTTTTTCCGACGTAAAAAGTCTAAAATAACAGATGTAAAATGTCTCTTTTGTACTAGTGTTTGTGCCCTTAAAATTTCAGTTTTTTTTGTATATTTTGTCTCCAAGTCTTTTCTTTACAAAATATGTCTCTAAACTTTCAAAACTTGGCAATTTGTATCTCTGGTCAATTGCCCATTTGATAATTGTCAAATATGTATATAATTTTTATTCAATTTAAGTAATTATTAAATATATCTCATGTAATACTTTTTGAATCACAAAATACTTAGTTAAGAGTTAATTTTATTTGTGGGATGTAATTGTTTAATATTCGATATTTTTAATATTTTTCTTTGTTAAGATGTGATACAAGGAGAATGTAATTTGAGAACTACAAGTCTCAAGAGAAAGCATCGCTTCAAGATCAACTAGATGTGTTCTAAGTCAGAGACTATGTAATACTCTGAACTTTTGATACAATATTATAATTTTATTATCATTATCTTATTCTTAAAATAATAGTTTAAATTTTTAGTTATCATATTTAAAATAAATAACTAAATACAAATTAAGTATAATGTTTTATTTTTAATACCTTAGAATTTTTATATTTTCAGTAGACTAAAATAGAAATATTTAATATTCAATTTTATTATAAATTTTTTTTAAGAAAAAGCACTATTTATAATATTTTTGCAGAATAATACTTTAACTTTATTATTATGAAGCATATATATATATATAATTAAATTATTATATTATAATATATATATATATATATTGTCTACAAATAGCCCAAGGGGCGGGAACCATTAGAGTAACCAGAAAGAAAGAAAAAAGTGAGAGATTGTTGGTGAAGAGAGAGAGAAAGTGAGAAGGAAGAGAGAAAAAAAGAAAGAAAAGAAAAGAGAGAAAGAGAAAAAAATAAAAATTTTACGCAATCTTAAGATACTTCTAAGAAATTTTACTTTTCTTTAAGGTAAGGGGAAAAAACTTTTATCTTTTTTAAATTTTCTATATTATTATATTTATTTACTTGAAGTTATATCTATGAATATTTAATTAGTGAGGTATTCTAACCTTATTTACCTATTTAATTTATGATACTAATTATTCTAAATAATCAATGAGGTATTCCTAATTTATGTTGTTTAATTAATTTATGTTATTTATAACTGTCATTTACTAGATTAATATTCTTTAATACATCCAATTTCTGTAAATTATATTATAATAAATTCTAAATAATTAAAAATATTCTAATTTATTTTGCTTAATTATTTTTATATTATTTTAACTTTAACCTAGCCTTGTTAATTTTCCTAAGCTCATTTTATTATTATATCATCATTCATTATAAATATAAACGTTAATTAATGGTCATAAGAATGAAAGTTTGAATTAATTTATAGTTGGAGGTTTGAACTTGAGGATTTAAATGAACAAAAAACTTAGGGTGAGATATCGTTTTGTTATTTGAAATTATGATAAAACTCATTTATCTTGAATAGTCACTACAAGAATAATTCAAATTTCACTATAATGAGAATGAAAGAATAATATATTGAATATTGGTTACAAGTAATTTGTGCATAGCTATTGATTTATTTGTATTTATTGAATAATTATTTTCACTCCTTATTTTTCTTTGTTATAAAATTAAATTAATTATAATGTAAAATAGATGGATATGCTAACAATACCAGATCCTTTCAATTCCGTTATCATGACTGTTTTATCGGGTACAAGTTGGGACATTGACACAATTGTCAATTCCATTACTTTTCAGGACATAGGAGTATCGTCATTTGTATTGTCACCAACCCAGCAAACCTCTATTATTATAGATGATCAAATAGTAGCTACTTTTTATCTACCCCCAACCAATCACATTAATCCAATAAATCTATACCAACCTTGGATGTAAACCTATTAGTATAAGTGAGAAAGAGAAATTGTATTAAAATAAATTTTCCTTCATGTTAGTTATATGTAGTTTCTTTATGAATGGAAACATGATTATGGTGCGATTTTTTTTACCTAGTATGGTTTTAAAAATTTATATTATAGATAATAATAATTTTTTTATAATAAAATTTTATTGCAAATTTTAAAACGTTGTAATAGCTATATAGGTATGACTTGATGAGTAATTCATTCTATAATAATCGACATTACAGACTACACCTAAGAGATGATGCTAGCTTAAGCAAGTAGAGTGCTCGCTCTAAGTGAGCTAAAATTCGCCAAAAGCGATCAAAACCTCACTTTAAACAAGTCAAGTCAGAGACTACCTCCTAGAAGAGGATGCTAGCTCGCTTAAGCCAGTACGCACTCTAAATGAGTCAAAATTTGCTTAGAGCAACTAGGATAGGCACTCTTAACGAGTCAAATCAAAGACCACCTCTAGAAAGATTAGACATGCTTTTTTAAGCGAGTCACATAGACACTCTGAGCGAGCATACACAAATAGAAGCCCATTTAAAATATATCAAATTAGAAAATTTAGGAGGTCTTTGTATCTTAGTTTTCACAAACATGCAAATTTTGAGAGATTAGAGAGAGAACTCTTGTGCAAGCATTTTTTATAATCACAGATCACTCAAAGATTCCTTTTTTTTTTTGTATAATCCTTAGCCATGAGCGGCTAATTAGTCTCTATTATTGGAGATTGAGGTAACTATTATACTCATGTAATTTTCCTTATTATGCTACTACAATTTTAGAACTTAGACTACACACTTAACACTAGAATGGGAGTGAGCCAGTGGCAGTCGTGATTATCACACAACACGAACAATGCCTTCGCAATCGCAATAGCATCCTTTTAAACAAAGCCGATAAAGGCCCAACCCACATACGTTTGGTTCGGCCTGGCATTATAGCAAGGTCTGGTTTTCGCTAAAAGCATTTTAAGGCTGTGGAAAGAAATGTTTTCCTTGTTCCAATACATATTCTTTCTCGTGACATTGTAACATTCACCTTTGTATAATTATTTATTTCATGATTTAAAATTTGAAAAATTACAAAATGGAGAAAATTAATTACAAGATTATATCTACCGTAAGAATACAAAAAATTTATTCCTATGAGCCAGGAGCAAAGCATTGGCAAAAGGGAGCTTCCTTATATCCTTTTTTAAAATTAGTTCAATGAAAGCGTGTCACAGTAAAACTTTGGTCAATTCAAAACTACCACTTCAATTATAATATTAATACATAATTATGCAATTAGAATAACTCGAATAACGATAAATTAAAGAACTTAGATAAACAACTTTTAAAAAAAAACTAAAACTAAAATATATCCAGTAGAAAACCGTAAAGCATATAGAAACCTAATAAAATGCCAGCAGACTAATAAATAATAGTTATATTATTTAAGTAAACGTTAAAAATTAGCACGTGATGACATTCTACACAACTATTTTCATTTTTTACTTATCTATGTCGACTAATGTCGTATACTAAATCTTTTTACAGGAGATAACTTTTTATTTTCTCATTTCATTATTCACAAGACATTATCCAATTTAAAAAAAAGAAGAAAAAAATTTAAACCGCAGAGAAAATACCCACATTGAGATTGCACTGTGCAGAGCATTACAAGAAAGAAAAGTACATACCCTGCGTCTCAACAAACAAATTCACCTATATATGTACACAGCATGGCGAGCGAGCAACCTCGTTACCACACACAGAGTAAACTCATTATTCAATTTCGAATACACCAACAGAGCAATTGACTAACCCTAATCACATTCATAAATGCAGTGAGAGGAAAGCACAAGAATGGCAAAACTAAAACATCTGGTGCAAGCTAGCTAGGGAGCAAGCTCAACGCATCAGATGAAAACGGAGACGCGGAAAAGCGATGAAGAAACGAGCGGAAGCGCAAGCAAGGACGATTACGAGAGTAAACAACGGCTTCGGCCCATAGGGCTCCTCAGCACGGGAACAATCGCAGGGGGAGGGCTCCTCCGCAGGTGGGTGTGGATCATCAACATGCGGCGGAGAAGGCGGCGGAGGTTGACGTGGAGGAGGAGCGCCGGCGGCGGGACGCTGGTCTTGATCGTCGTTGGTTCCGTTACCGGGAACTTGGACCTGGAGTTTGAGGCCCTGTTGGCAGTGGCCCAATCGGCCACAGACGAAGTAGCGGCTTCCCACTTCGCTCAAGTGGATCACGGTTTCTCCGGTGTCGTACGTGGCCAGAGCGCCGACTATCGAACACGTGTCGTAACCTAGTTGGTTCACCTCCACCACGTCGTGAACCGGCGTGTATATGAACACTGCCAACCAACGCGAAACGCATCGTATTTTAGTTTTATTTAATTAATAAAAAAACTATTACTATGCCGAAAACGCCCACGGCGTCCTCGTCTCCGTTTGTGTGCACCACGCTAAAGCGAAACTAACTTCGAGAACGAAAACGGTTACTCGCTAGCTGTTTCATTCTATTCAACACCAATCGGAATGTTTTCTACGCATATTAATTCTGATATTCTCAAAACGAAAATTCAATTCAACGAGTGAAAAAGGACTTAAACTAATGATCCATTACTGATTACTCGCTTGTTAATTAATTTACTCTTACTAGATCTAAAGCTTCAAAAACACGAAAATTGCAATTCATGTGCTCTGTTTAAGAGATTAGTGCATGGATTGATTAATTAAGATGAATATGAAGATATTACGCGTACCGAGATCGTCACCGATGTTAAACGTTGTGGTAGAAGACCAGGCCTGGATATTGGAACGGAGGTCCCAGCCGGAGGCACCGCCGACGGTGTGATTCTCACCGC